CCCCCCCCGAACCTCCGCCCCATCAAACCCCCCAGCCCCCTTACTGTGCCACTCAGACCAGTATGTCTGGCTCCGCGCAGTGCCAGACACACTGCTGCATAAATGCTGCCGTGCTCCCCCGCAGAGCCACAGCCCCCTTCCCCCCTCTCCGCCCAGCACCTGCCTTCCAGATTTGAACACCTCAAAATTCAGGAGTGCTCAAGCTCAGTTTGGGCAGCTGTTACTTCATTTCTCCCAAATCAAATATACTGATCCACTGTAACTTGCTGTAGAAAAAGTAGGATAAAATTGAGCAAGAAATGCTTCCCAGTGGTTATTAGGACTGGAATTGCTATTTTCAACAGCCATTGCCTTTTTGTTTGTTTGTTTGTTTGTTTGTTTAAAAGGAAGACAGTGATATTGCATTGGCAAATTCCCCATAGAAAGAAAGAGTGGAAGAAAAGAATAATAAAGGCACCTCAACTTTTCCTCATTTATGTAGGACAGTCTTATAATATGCATCCAGATATCCTCCAATCACACAAGCTGAAAATTGTTCCACTTTACTGCAGTTCTGTAACCATATGGGAACCAATCCTGTCTGTGTTCTGTGCACATCTAAAATTCATGCTGAATGACCTGTCATGGGAGCGAGTTACCAGTCCCCCCAGGGCTGTGGCGGAAGGAGGGTGCAGGGGGGGGGGGGGAGAGAGCCCAGAGCTGGGGCGGCAGGGGGTGTGGGTGGGTGGGTGGGGAGAGCCCAGGGCTGGGGCAGCAGGGGGATGCAGCTAGGAGCCCAGGGCTGGGACGGAGGGCAGCCAAAATTTCTTCTGCTTGGGGCGGCAAAAAACCTAGAGCCGGCCATGGATGCGGCAGGTTCGGGGCGGCGAGAAGCGGCGCGGGCGAGCGATGTGCTGGCCGCGGCTTCTCGCCGCCCCCATTGGCCCGGGACGGCAAACCGCGGCCAGTGGGGGCCGCGATCGGCTGAACCTGCTGCGTCAGCAGGTAAATAAAACTGGCCCGGCCCGCCAGGGTGCTTACCCTGGCGAGCCGCGTGCCAAACGTTGCCGACCCCTGGCCTAGTTTGTGGGGAGAGAGGAACTTGCCCCCCAGAAGAACAGCATGGGGGAAATCTTGATGAGGAGATGCTCCCAGAAGATCGTTCTCCCTGAGCTCCCTCTCATGTGAGGGGCAATTTGGCCCATTTTGACTTGGGCCCATGTTTAATCTCAATAACTCTGTACATTTTGCAAGAGGGCTCAGTACAATACTTTTTCTATGTACACTGCCCCTTTGTTCAGCAACTGTATATTCTAGCTCCTCATCTTTTATTTTTGGATAGGTATAAATCCATTCCTCACCTTTGAAAGCTGGTAGCCAAATAAACCACAAGTCTCCCTGAGCAGTAGGGAATAATTTAGTCATTAGCAAGAACTGAAATGGGATTATTTTGTTGTGTGGCTAATATTGATTCTCTTTAAGAATAGATAATTCAGTGCATATTCCTTGCATATTTAATTTTTCTTTTTTAATTAAAGGATCTCAGTTTTTTAAATGTGACCATCAGAGATCTGTTTTCTTGTTCCTGTCATCCTTGAGACGGAGTTGCAACATAACAACATACCCTTGTGATTCATACTTGGATTACAAGAATGGAAAATGTGCCAACTGTGAAGCTTTTCAACCAATGCCATGTCCAGTACTGGGTAAGAGTTACATGGTGGTGTCTGTTTTGTAAGTTGGAAGGACAAATAATGTATTGGTGACTTTTTCATAGCAGTCTCCTCATTGAAAATAGCTGTTTCTCAGGTAGCTTAGACTTTGTATTCATATTGCAGCCAGCTGTAAATATTACAGGAGACATTGACAGATCTGTGGAAGGGGGTTGCTTGCAGAACTACCTAGCATCTAAAAATAATCTAAAGTTTTAATGCTATGACTGCTTTTTTAAAGGCCCCTAGATTCATTGCAGGGGTTAAATCCATATAAACTTTCTTCACTAGGCTTACTAGTCCAAAACAGAGGCAGGCAACAAAAATAATTAGAATCATGTAGCAATGTAAGGTTAGGGAGAGATTGAAGAGATTGAGACAGTTTCATTTAGAGAGGAGATGAATAAGAGGGGCATGATAGAAATATGCATAATAATGAATGGTAAAGAAGTTAAATCAGGCATACCCATGTACCCTCTTTCATAGCACAAGAATAAGGAGACAATTAATGAGACTGGCAACAAATTTAAAAATGGGTAAAATGGAAATACTTTTTACATTGAGTCCAAGAGTTTAATAGGATTCAGAGTGGATTAAACATTTATAAGATAAAATATCCACAAATACATTATACAGGAAGCATATCAACCCTCATAATTCAGTGATAAGCTAACCGATAATTTATGGGAAGAACAGGAAGAAACTTTACCTATGGACCTTTTCCTTAATTGTTCAGTAGGAGGTTTCTTACGTCTTCCTCTGAAGCAGTTGGTAATAACCATTTTTGGAATAAGATACTAGACAAGATGGTCCCCTGCTCTAATCCAGAATGACAATTCTTATGATCTTAGTATAGCAAGAGAAGTATGTTAAGTGGCCTACTGAAGACTGAAAGGATATATATATTATCTGTTGGACTGGCTGAATGATTTTTATGTTTTCCAAATCAGTTTTCTTTCCCAATTAATGCACTGAAAAATTATGATAACATTTATAACCTTCAGTAATTTGCTCTTTTGTATTTGTTGCTATTTTGCTTAGTACTCTAATGTTGAATTAATAAAATTTGTATTTCAGGTTATTTTGCTGATAAGTGGAAAAACTATTTAATCCAAAAAGACCCTCCGGAGACAAAGGCTTATTTTGATACCTCAGGCCAAGAACCATTCTGTAGTAAGTGACTGACCATGCATTACTTTTTTACACTTACCAAACTTGTCACTGATTATTAACTGATCCAGAAAAGATGACATGTTCTTGATTACATTTTGAACATTGCTACTATATGACTTGTAAAATACTATAATAAAAAGAATCTAAACAGTCAGTTAAATGTCAGTAGAATGGGGAAAGGAGAGGGATGATCTGGCCAGAATAGTAAGCAACGAGTGAGCTGAACAGGAAAGAGAGAAATGCGGCTGCATTGGATATGGAGAAAAATGGACTGTTAGGAGGGAAAGGGGAGCCAGAGAGCTAGGCTAGTTAGTTACAGAGGAGAGGCTGGGTGAGAGAACTTGCTTAGGTGGGAAAGGAAGGGAACATGGTTGTACTGTACATATACCTTCTTGGTAGTCCATCGATCCGATGATGACAAATCTGTGCAAATCATCAGTTGTTGGTCTTATGGTGTGCCCTCTGGTGACTGTACAAGCCAATTCTAGAGGTGCACATTTTGCTGCAGATGGTGCATGGGAAGTTCGCGGTCAGTGGATTGTGCGCTGCTGATGCTCTGTGACGTCGTTCGCGTGCCTCTTGTAGACGCCGGCAGCGGTCTTCCTCAAAGGCAATGCAGGTATTTCTGACTGTTGCACGCCACTGTGTTCTGTCGCTGACGGCGTCCTCAAGATCCCTAGGTTTGATACTGCTGTACTGCAGATTGGCTTTGATGGTGTCCTTGTAACGTTTCCGTGGACGACCTATATGCCGGATGCCCTGGGAGAGCTCACCATACAGAAGCTGGCGGGGGATTCTGTTGGCATCCATGCGGCTGACATGACCGGTCCAACGTAGCTGTGACTTCATGATCATCATTTCGATTCTTGTCATCTGGGCTCTCTCGAGGACCTCGAGATTGGGCACTTTGTCTTGCCAGAGGATCTTCATGATGTTACGGAGGCAGCGCATGTGGAATGCTTAGAACTGCTTGATGTGACGCCTATATAGTGTCCATGTTTCGCACCTGTACAAAAGAGATGAAAGAACAACAGCTCTGTACACAAGCAGTTTTGTTGACATCCGGATGTTATGATGATTTAAAACTTTGATACGCAGACAGCCAAGTGCCTGGCTTGCTTTGGATATTCGTGCATTGATCTCATTATCCAGTGATCCATCACTGGATATGACACTACCCAGATATTTAAATTTCTCCACTATTTTCAGCTGAGTGCCGTCAATGGAGATACTCGGGACAGAAGCATTTGATCCAGGTGCAGGTTGATGGAGAACTTCTGTCTTTCTGAGGCTGATAGTTAGTCCGAAAAGTTGCGAGGCCTCAGCAAACTTGTTGACAATGTGCTGAAGATCATTTTCAGTGTGAGCCATGAGGGCACAGTCGTCAGCAAAGAGTGCCTCAAGAAGGAGTTTCTGCACTGTCTTAGTCTTTGCATTCAGGCAACAGAGGTCAAAAAGTGAACCATTGTGCCGGTATTTCAAGTATATACCTCGGTCCAGATCTTTCACTGCATGGTTAAGGACACATGCAAAGAACAGGTTAAATAGGACAGGAGCGAGAACACATCCTTTTTCACGCCGTTGGTGATGTTAAAGGGGGCTGATGTGGCTCCACCAGACAATACTTCGCCTGTCATGCTATCATGAAAAAGGCATATAATCTGGACAAATTTTCTTTGGCAGCCACATCGTGTTAGAATGGTCCAAAGGGCTTCCCTGTTGACGGTATCAAATGCCTTAGTCAGATCTATGAAGACAGCATACAGGTGTATGTTCTGTTCAATGCACTTCTCTTGTATTTGTCTGACAGCAAACACCATGTCGACTGTGCTCCGGCCAGGTTGAAAACCACATTGACTTTCAGGTAGATTTGCCTCGGAAATACTGGCTATTAGGCGGTTCAAGATGATGCGGGCGATGATCTTCCCTCCAACAGAGAGGAGGGATATGCCTCTATAGTTTCCACAGTCTGCTTTGCTGCCTTTGTTCTTGAAAAGAGAGACAGTAGTAGCATCGCGAAGGTCCTGTGGTATGTTTTCATCCTCCCAGATGTTGATGATCACGCTGTGGAATGCTGCTAGTGCTGCTGGACCTGCTGCTTTATATATCTCTGCTGGTATCCCATCTTTTCCAGGAGCTTTCCCTGAACTCATCTGGCTAACAGCTTTCTTAATCTCATCTATAGTGGGCGGAAAGTCAAGATCTGTCAGAGCAGGTTGTTGTGGAATTTCATTAAGGACATTATTATTCACGGTTGATGGTCTATTGAGAAGGTTGCTAAAGTGTTCTCGCCATCTTTCTTTGATGCCGTCTTTATCTTTAATCAGCGTTGTGTTGTCTAATGAGAGCAATGGGGTGGTCCTTGGTTTAAAGGGTCCATAGACAGTCTTAATAGCACTGAAGAACATCTTTAAGTTGTGGGTCTCAGCATAGTGCTCAATTCCTTTGGCTTTGCTCTCCCACCAGTTTTCTTGTATCTGACGGAGGTCTTTCTGTGTTTTGCTCTGAAGGTACTTGAAATGGTCCCTCTCAGAGACTGAGGAGGGGTCATTCTGCCATTCGATAAAGGCTTTTCTCTTTACTTCCAGTGCTGAGCATATTTCTTCTTGGTTCTCATCAAACTAATCCTGAAGTATTCTTTTCTTTGGTCCAAGAGATGTTATTGCTGTGTCAGTCACTATCTGCTTGAACTGGTCCCATTTTTTGGTTACAGTACCGATCGGTTGTCCGTGGGATGTCAATTTGTCATCAAGACTCTTCTGGAATTTGTTGAAACATTGAGCATCCTTCAGTTTGGCCATATTGAAAGCAGGTCGCACATGCTTAGGGCGTTTGTGCCGAGAAGGAACGATGTAGAGTTGAAGAGACGTCCTGACTAATCTGTGATCTGTCCAGCACTCTGCGCCTCGCAATACTCTGGTAATCAGTACGTCTCGAATGTCTCGCCTTCTAACAATGGCATAATCTATCAGATGCCACTGTTTGGACCAAGGGTGCATCCACGTCGTTTTGTATTTGTCCGCTTGTCGGAACAGAGTGTTGGTAATGGTCAGGTCATTTTCAGAACAAAGACTCAAAAGAAGTAATCCATTACTGTTCATTTTGCCTACACCATGTGGCCCGATTACTCCTTTCCAGTTCTCGCTGTCAGCCCCGACTCGGGCATTGAAATCTCTAAGTAGAAGTAGTTTATCTGTTACAGGTGTGGCCTTGATCAGTCTGTCGAGATCTTCATAGAATTGTTCCTTTGAGTTGTCAGAGCATGTTAAAGTGGGTGCATATGCACTGATGATAGTGACATGATGTTTGGCATTTAGTGGGAAGCATAGCTTCAGCAATCTTTCATTGATACCCACTGGAAGATCTGGGAGTTGATGCATCAATAAGGTTTTTATTGCCAGACCAACTTCGTGTATTCTGTCCTCTGTCTCAGTCTTACCCTTCCAGAAGAAGGTGTAACCACCTCCTGGTTCACTCAAGAAACCTTCCCCAGGCAATCTTGTTTCACTTAATGCCGCTATATCGATGTTGTAGCGGACTAGTTCTCGAGCAATGAGAGCTGTCCTTCTCTCAGGTCTTGCAACAGCTTCTCGATCCATGAGGGTACGAACATTCCATACACCAATGGTAAGTTTTCTCAAATTTTTCTTTTGGTTTCGGCCGCAGATTGGGTTAAACTGCCAGCCGCGGCTTGCTGGCCAGTTGTTGTAGGGCAGGCAATTTTTAGACCACCTTTTCTAGGCCCCTCCCTTACTAGGGTGAGCAGTGCTGTCCTGAAGAGGACTGTACATATAGAGTAATAAGCAAAACACATGTAGCGAATAAGAAGCCCTGACACAACTGGGCACAGTAAAGTACTAATAATAAGCAAGAACCAACAGAGAAATTAGACCAATAAATGAGTCAGGAGAGCAGGGTAATTACTGAGTGAAGCCTATGGTAATCCCTAGGAATTTGAAAAGGAAAAAGGCTACTGAGGAAACAAATAAACAAAAGAGACTACAAAATAAACAAAAGAGATAAATAGAACTAAAAACCCAAGACACACATAGGGAAAACAAACTTAAAACATTTATATAAAGTGTTTTTGAGCAAATAATATTAAAAAAACAAAATATACAAAACAGTTTTAATTGAATTTAGTGCTCAAAAATATGTATAACAACCCCCAAATAGTTTCTTTTCCTCTGATTATTCACACAATAGGTACTGTATTGGTAGCAATAATGCAATCTAATTTCCTCCAACATTCTGGCAATATACCTCAACTATTTTCTGAAAATGTTACTTCCAAAGGTGACATGGTTGCTTTTACAACATTCTCATTCACTCTCTCTGGAGGCTGCCAACAAAGATGGCAGTTAGAGTCTGAGCCCTCATTCCTTTGTCAGGCAGAGCTCCCACTGAAGTGAATAGAGGTTTTGGCTGAGCAATGGAATACAGGATCAAACTTTTAACACTAATAGTGCTGGTTGTTTTGTGATGTGGATCTGTAATGGGGTATCCTGGCCCTTTAGGCCTAGGGGAGGCCAGAAAACCCTGTTTTAGGGACATTGGAACTAGAAAAGGAGCAGGTAGTGGTCAAAGCCAGAAGAGAGAGGAAGGAGTCCCAGGGAGTTAGTAGTTGGATGGGGAAAACCCAGGACACTAAGGGTCTGGAATCAGGAGCCCTGTGGTATAGGGTAGGGCAGGGCGCCCCTGTCTCCCCACAGATCCAGAGGAGCTCTCAGTAGGACAGCAGTATATATGCTGTTTGCTGCCATCTCCCTCAGACGCTTGCAGGAGAGACGCTGGCTGGAGAAGGAAGTCAAAGCTAGAAGGCTGAGCTCCTAGTAGGAAAGGCTGCGAGTGGCAGACTGATGAGGAAACAGACTGAAACAGAGGAAGAGCTCCAAGTATGATAGAAAAGCCAGAGCAGAGTATGAACTTTTGGGTAGTGGTGAAGGGTATTATTTTTGGGGTTTTGAAGGCTGTTGTTGGACTGTTTTTGTTAGTGAACAGGCCCCAAAGGGAGACAGAAAAGACTGGGTAAAGTTCATAAGGGGTTCAGAAGAGGGGAAAGAGAAACAGAGATGGAAAACCACCTCTGGGCATGAGGAGGTGCTCAGGAGGTGACCAGCCCAGTGACAGGACCCTTTCCTTCTAAGAACTGGGTGAAGCCACCAGCTCTATTCACATAACTCCAAATAGCCATCATATGGAAACTACTTTAATTAATAGCCTCTTACCTCTGATTTGAACCAGTAACCTAGAGAGAGAGATAATGAGTCATCATCCTCATCCAATGAGTATTTTTAATAGGGAAAGAACAGGAATTATATATATGATGTTGAATTCAATCTTTGAATCTTATTATTTTCTGTTTCTATTTTGCAGTGTATTACTACTTTGTGGATTTTATTACTTGGAACAAAAGCATTAGGAGAGGTTTCATCAGAATTAAAATAACAGACAATGCTGGAAACACAATAGAATCAAAAATAAATAGGTAAGTCATGTTTTACTCAACAGGTTTTGTATCTTTTATTTATCTAAAGTTGCCTTACCTTGCAGAAGAATCTATTGGGATAGATTTAAAAAAAAAAGAAGAAAATCATTAAAAGTTCTGTTAATGTAAGTGCTGAGTTGGGTAAATATAGGACAATCTTACATAGTAGAGGATCAGTTGAGGTTTTTCTGCTTTCAGGTAAAAATGAAAAGCCATACTATGTCTAGAAACTTATCATGGTCCCTTTCACTGACAGATCTAAAATAAAAATGGATGCCACTATCATATAGAGTCAAAGTAGTCCCAGAATGGTGAATTAATACACTGAGGCAGTGACTGCTTACCAGTTATGTTAAAAAGTTACTGAGCAGACTGTTTGTAGCAGTCAGTTCAATAGCAAGCTGTTTATTATTGAAAGTAAAAAATGTTCTTAAAGAGTATTTACCATTTTACATGCAACAACAGTGCTGAATTAAGGCATCAGCAACTCAGATTTGTCTTGGCTTTCAAAGATTTGTTAGAACCTAAAGACATTTTAATGTAATATGTGTATATAGGCTTTCTTCTCCTGCTACCTACATAGGTGTAAATTGGGAGTAACTTTGTTGAAGTCAGTGGAGTGACACTCATAAAACTAGTGTGAGCTCAGAATTATGTCCTATATAAGTGACTTATATTTACATTTCTTATGCCTGACACTTATATAGTGTTTCTCATCCAAAACTTGCAATGAACTTTATAAACATCAATTACTTTAATCTCTCAAGGTAGGTAAATAATTATTATTTTCACCATTTTGAGGCAGAGGAAACAGAAGCACAGAAATTATGATCCTGCTGTTGAGAATCACAGAGCATACACAAAAATGTGCATATTAATATGTGTGCACAGTTACCATGATAAAATACATAAATTGGGTAATTGTACACCTAATGGCCAGTGAAACATGTAATTAATCATTTTGTGTATGTAATTTTACAGTTTGTATGCACAGCTGTAGACGTTGTCTATACAAAGTAGGTACACCGTGGGGTATGTTTTATTGCAAGTGTAATTGCACATACCTGGTTTTGAAATTTAGGCCCTAAAAGAGTTGCCAAAGGTCTCGCAGAAGTCTTTAGCAGAGGCAGAGGCAGAATAAAATCTAGGGGCCAGATTCTGGTTCTGGCTGTTCTGCACAGTGCATAGAGTATTAAGGGTGCGTGCAAGATCACCTTTGAATTGCCCAGATCCTATTACACCTCTGTGCAGGACTGATGCCCATGGGCTAGGTTAAAGCAGTCTAAGGGATGCTCTAATGTACAACAAATGAAAACTGTCTCATTGAGTTGATAACTCAGCCAGGGATCAGCATGGGACAGTAGCATCCTGGCCACACCTCTTTTTCTGGTCCCTATGCTATCTCTGTCCTACAGGAGAATCCTCCTTACACTGGGGCGGTGGTCCCTGGTCAGTAACAGCAGGGTAAGGGCCAGTTTACACATGTAATGTGGTGTAAAGTGGATACATAGAATCATAGAATATCAGGGTTGGAAGGGACCTCGGGAGATCATCTAGTCTAACCCCCTGCTCAAAGCAGGACCAATCCCCAGACAGATTTTTGCCCTAGATCCCTAAATGGCTCCCTCAAGGATTGAACTCACAACCCTGGGTTTAGCAGGCCAATGCTCAAACGACTGAGCTATCCCTCCCCCACACGTACCAGGGAATCTGGATCCAGATCTCCAGACTCCCAGTTCTGAACTTAACCACAAGTCAAGACATCTTACCAAGACTAATTTTTTAATAACAATGGATCTGACTCAGATAACAAAGTATTATACTTTCTCTCCAGTGAAGCTGCTACATTTCAGCAGTATAGACAAGCCAGTATCTTTGTTGGATTTTATGAGGATTTTGACAAAATATCAAGAATTTCCTTGACTTTTTCAACAAGAACTCTAATAGGCCCAAAATATAAGCTCAGGATTCTCCGAATGAGGCTAAGATCTACTACAGATCCAGGAAGGTAAGTGGACAGTTGGTAAAAAGGATACTTGAAGATTAGATTGTTTGAGGTGTTTCTGGAAAATTATTTATTGAGCTGCTTGTGGAAATTTGTGTATAATGCATAGTCCTAAATACAAGCATATTGTTGTCACAACAAATTATATCCTTGTCTAAGACATAATTCATCCTATGAAAAAGTTGATTTGTGCATAAATATTAAGTACACACTCCATGTGTTGAGCATACATCCATTGTATATGCAAGTTCTGTGTATATGCGTCTCTAAAGTTTGCAAGATTCAACCCTTTCCTGTAACAGAAATTTTAAAACATAATTTCAGCATTTTTCTGTCCTCAGCAGTGTGTCTGTATATAGATTTTCTCACACGCACATACAGAACAAACCTGTTGACTTCAGTGTAGCTCCATGTGTGAGTAAGCAAATAGGTTTTGCCCCTGTTTGGATTCTACAGTACAAGAGCAAAACATGTATGCTGTGCTTACTGACACTGAAAAGTATGTATGATTTCAGTTTTAATGCTTAAATGTCATTTCCTAAATTCCTTTAACTATTAATGTATTAATCAGTTCATAAAGTTGACAATACCCCAGTAGCCATTCTTAAAATCTCCACAGATAACTGTACAGACACCATAACATTTAAACTTTGCCTTTCCGTCTTGTGAGAACAAACCATTCACTAGAACGTTGATAGGAAGATTTTACTTCACAATTTATCCTGCATTTAATGTAGCAACATTTTTGCATTTTAATGTATGCTGCACACAAATGCCAAGTGCAGCAAAGGCAGAATTTCAAACAAAATCTAATATGAGTTACCACTCTAAGAGTACTGAATGGAAAATATATACCACTGGAATTATGAGTCACTGACAAAAGTAGACTATTATGAATTAATAACAGTCCTAAATAACATACAGCTAAGAAGTCAGAATCTTGCTAATTTACTTGGAATCCCATGGCAAATTACTCTGTGCTGTTTTTGTTCTGTGCCTCGTAGGATATGTCTACACTGCAATTAGACATCTATTGCTGGCCTGTGCCAGCTGATTCAGGCTCATGGAGCTCAGGCTAAGGGACTGTTTAACTGTTGTGTGCCCAAGCTCTAGGACCCTGCGAGGTGGGAGGATTCCAAAGCTCGGGCTGCAGCCCAAGCCTATACATCTACACCGCAATTAAACAACACCTTGGCTTGAGCCCTGTGAGCCCTAGTCAGCTGGCCCGGGCCAGCCATGGTTGTCTAATTGCAGCATAGACATACCCTTAGAGGCACAAAATAAACCTTGCAGCCCAGGGAAAGTAGGGGCAAAGGTTTCTTTAAGCCCCCTTTGTACCCTCCCAATTCTGTGTTGCTCTGAGGGCTGAACCCTGGGTGTAACAGCATACCTATATTGCCTGTGGGTGGCGCTGCTGTCCTGAACCACTCTAGGACATAGTACTATGGCCCTTCTCCGGCCCCTAGCATGCCCACAGAGTGGATCTTGGGGGGCAGTCTGTGGCAGCCTAACCCAATTCCTGTGCTGGGGGAATTCTCTCATGGCTGGCTCTGCGGCTTTTAGAGCCTGGTCAAACTCAAACATCTCAATGGGACCAAACTGGGGGACCCAGATAATTTCCATCCTAGAATATTAAAGCAATTGGCACATGATATTGCAAAGCCAACTGCAAAGATTTTTAATGAATCCATAAACTTGGGGGTCATACCTATGATTGGAGAATTGCTAATATACTACCTATTTTTAAGAAAGGGGGAAAAAATGTGATCCAGGAAACTACAGGCTAGTTAGTTTGACCTCAACTGTATGCAAGGTCTTGGAAAATTTTTTGAAAGCAAAACTAGTTAAGGACATAGAGGTAATTGAGATAAAATACAACATGGTTTTACAGAAGGTAGATCATGCCAGGCCAACCTGAGTTCTTTCTTTGAGAAGACAACTGATTTTTTTTAAGACAAAGGAAATGCAGTAGATCTTATCTACTTGGATTTCAATACATTCCACACTGGGGAAATTATTAGTTAAATTGGAGAAGATGGGGATTAATATGAGAATTGAAAGGTGGATAAGGAACTGGGTAAAGGGGAGACTACACTGGGTCATATTGAAAGGTGAACTGTCAGGCAGGAGGAAGGTTTCTAGTGGCGTTCCTTAGGGATTGATCTTGGAATCAATCTTATTATTCGTTCATGACCTTGGCACAAAAATTGGGAGTGTGCTAATAAAATTTGCAGATAGCACAAAGTTGGAGGTATTGCCAATACAGAGGAAGACTGGAATATCACAGAAGATCTAAATGATATTGAAAACTGGAATAATAGAAATGGGATGAAATTTAATAGTGCAAAGTGTAAGATCATGCACTTGGGAACTAACAACAAGAATTTTTGCTATAAGTTGGAGTGTATCAGTTGGAAGCCACAGATGAGGAGAAAGACCTGGGTGTTTTGGTCAATCATAGGATGACTATGAGCTGCCTGTGCGATGTGGCCATGAAAAAAAGCCAATTCAATTGTAGGCTGCATCAGGCGAAGTATTTCCAGTAGAGGTAAGGAAGTTACCATTATACAAGGAACTGGTGAGACCTCATCTGGAATACTGTGTGCAGTTCTGGTCTCCCATGTTTAAGAAATATTAATTCACACTGGAACAGGTGCAGAGAAGGGCTACGAGGATGATCAGAGGAATGGAAAACCTACTTTATGGGAGGAGACTCAAGGAGCTTTGCTTGTTTAGCCTAACCAAACGAAGACTGAGAGGAGATATGATTGCTCTCTATAAATATATCAGATGGATAAATAGCAGGGAGGGAGAGGAGTTATTTAAGCTATGCACCAATGTGAACAGAAGAAAACAAATGGATATAAACTGGCCATCAACAAGTTTAGGCTTGAAATTGGATGAAGGTTTTTAACCATCAGAGCAGTAAAGTTCTGGAACAGCCTTCCAAGGGGAGCAGTGGGGGCAAAAATCTAACTGGTGTCGATATTGAGTTTTATACATTTATGGAGGGGATGGTATGACAAGACTGCCTACACTGGCATGTTGCTCATCTGCAACTGTTTGTAGCAAATATGTCCAGTGGCCAGAAATGGGACACTAGATGAGGTGGGCTCTGAGTTACTTCAATGACTTCTTTCCTAGGTGTCTGGCTGGTGGGTCTTGCTGACATGCTCAGGGTCTAACTGATTGTCCTATTTGGGCTTGGGAAGGAATTTTCCCCTGGGTCAGATTGGCAGAGGCCCTGGGTTTTTGTTTGTTTGTTTTTTGCCTTCCACTGCAGGATGGGGCAAGGTTCACTTGCAGGATTAAACCAGAGTAAATGGTGGATTCTCTGTAACTTGAAGTCTTTAAATCATGCTTTGAGGATTTCAGTAACTCAGCCAGAGTTTATGAGTCTATTACAGGAGTGGGTGAGGTTCTGTGGCCTGCAATGTGCAGGTCAGACTAGATGATCACGACGGTCCCTTCTGGCCTTAAAGTCCGAGTCTGAAATTTCAAAATAATTTTAATACAGATTTTATGATGCTTTTTTATGCTGTAATTACATAATTGCTCATGGTAATTCCATAAATACCTCGAATTAGAGTGACTACACATATTCACTTCAGGTAGTTAGACATAATTACAATAATTACATAAATACTCCATAATCAGAAAGGCCTGAAATATTCATACAGCAAAAGATTAGATTAAGAAAAGAGCACAGGTGCAGGGGGGAGAGACCCATGGCGCTATGCTAATAGGGTACAGTTGTAGTCCAGGGTATATCATAGATGGGACAGTTCTCACCTGGACTGCCACATGATCCACACAGATGGTGTATGGACCCAGGTGTCCCCTGGGGCCACACCCAATTTTCAGGACTCTTCACCTGATCTCTCTGGTGAAGAGATCAAACTCCAATATGAAGCTTGCAGAGTAGTCTTTGTACTGTTTTCTCTCCCATGGATAAGAAATGTATCTTTACCAGGTAAAAATTCCACTGATGGAATGGCAGGTCACATTGGAAGAAACGCCTATATTCACACATTTCTCTCTCTTAATCCAGCATTTGTTCCAGTATTGTACTACTGTGTACTGGTACCTACAATCTTCAGGTACATTAAAATTACACCACTATATAATTACAAGGTATATACAAAGTATATACATAATGATTTGTTGTTGCAGCTTGGCCTGGAAGCTGTTTCATGAGTTCTTTGAAGCTCTCTTGTGAGGAGCTCTAGATGAATAAATGCTCAAGGCTCCAGCAGTAATATGCAGGAATTGCTTCTTGCTGTTCCACAGAAAATTAAAGCATTATTAAAAATATATGCTTTAGCTCAACTAGAAGTTATAGCTTTGATACAGAAACTACTGGGTGAAATTCTGCAGAACACAGCTCATAGGAGGTTAGACTCATTAATAAAAATCAGAGGGAACCACTATATCTATACAATCTATTAATTTGTCTTCCCTAGGGATTATTGAGTGGGGCCCAAGCTTGCTGTTCTGTACAACATATGGTAAACCACTGTTCCTTTACTCACAGATGGGTGGAGCTCTAGCTGACTTGGAAACCCCACTGATAAATAATGAAATAACCAAAGAGGTCGTACATCTTTTCCCAATTTTTTTCTCTTGTCCATGTAATCCGCTAAAACCCATCCTACTATGGGACTGGATCGATTATGCCATTTAGGCACAGCTGTGAATTGGAGGGCAGTGCATAGCCACACTGCCCCAAAGGGAGCACCGGTATATAGAGGCTGCTGTAATACTCCTTTGTGGGATAGTTTCTTACCCCCACACCCATCCAGCCCCTTCTATCCAGCTCTACTTACTCATGTGTGAGGGGCAGGGCCATGGCCTCTCCCTGCCTCTGTGGGACACTGTGTGCTCCTGCATGGTGCTTATGTGGGTCTCACAAAGAGAGAGGGTTCTTTATGCCCTCCTTACCCTAGTGCGCACCCATGCTAGGGCGAGGCAGAATCTGGTACTACAGTATTGTGAGAATTTTGACTTTTCTTAATGTTGACATGCCAAATTGACCCTCCGCCATCTACATAAAACCTTCTCCTATAGGCAGCCATTGCATCAAGAAAAAGGAGGAAATGGGATGACTTGGTTTTGCATTGCTCCATTCACTTATTACAGCCACATCCCTTCCTTAGGAGAATGGTAAGGAAGGATTACATCACACATGTCTGCTAACCAGCCCCAGCTAGAAAGAGATCTTTGTACCTCAGTGGGCAGGGGATCAACAAAATAGTCAACCCTAATGGTTTCCTAGGAATTGGCTATTCTGTGCCAGAGCCAGTCAGTCCAAGAGGACAGTTTGAATGAAGACTAAATCCACTCCAGACTGAATGACAACACCTATCTTTATTGGTCATCCTGGCAGGCCATTCTTACTCCTTCCCCACAGCACCACCCAGCTTATTACCCAAGGAACAAGCAGTAAACTGAGACAAAAAGACTTATCCCCTTGTCCTGAGCATATTTTCTTAAAGGTGATAAATGCCACCAATTTAATCATTGATATACTATAGTATTTTGAACTTGAATTAAAAATAGAAAATTCTTTTATACTGAGAGTGTGTTCTCTCCCCTTGTCTATTTATGCAGGCTGCAGACGTGCAGATATGATTTTGTACTTCTGGAAAACATCGAAACAACCTTCAGGCCTATTCCATGCCAAGAGAGGGACAAGTAAAGAGAGAGCCTCCGCTAACTTGCTTTCTTTTGTAGAAAATATCACTTTTAATTCTTTCTCAGGACTAAGGCCTGCTCTGAGGAGGGAAATGAGACAAAACAAGCTCAGTTTCTGAAGTTGGAACGATAAAGTTCATTGCTTTCTGTGGGTATCGTAGAGTGAAATTCAACAAACAGTTCAGTCAAATTTTGAAAACAAATGTATGATGGCAGAACACGTGCAATGATCTATTAGCCATTGTTTGTAAGTAGCAAGAATATTCCAGGAGTCCTCTGAATTAAATGTAACTATCTGCGCTGATCATGGCAAATTAGTCGTCATGTAATATAAATATAATTATTTTTTATGCTATTTTTCATATCAAGACATAATTATTTCTCTGTGAATTTAATATGCCATACAGATGATATACAGACCAAAGATACAGCAATTTTGGAGTATAATATTCACTGAATAAATCATTTGAATTTCTTTCATTATCTGATGCTTCTGGTTTTGGAAACCAGAAAAATAGTTGATATTTGTGCAAATATATGTAAATTTGCTGTTTAAAGCAATTCTCTCTGATCTCCATTGTCTTCTGTAGATGAATATTATTACAAACCTTTAAGTGTTTGTCTATTAATGAGAATGGACAAGAGATTGGCATGCAGGTATGAAGAAATTGGAATGTCTGCTTATGGTCTGTGTTATACAGAAAGTCAGACTGGATGATCACACAGTCTTAGAATCTATGAAGCTTTGAATATACTTACAGAGAAATTGTGTGGCATTAGGAATGATGTCTACAATGACCAGATTTTACTGCTAGGTGGTATGAAATAGGTATAGAACTCTGGACATACACAGCTATCTGCCTACAAGTCTGCTGTACCCATCCCAGTAATGCTCACTGAATGCCTTTGTATAACTGCTGCCTTTTCTATTATTATTTGTGTAGCTCCAGTTTTGCAGAGTGCTTGAAAGACATTAGATTAAATTTAGAAATATTGTAATGAAATATAATGTAATGAAAAATAAAACATAACTTCTATTATTTTGCTTATAGTTGTGTTTTAACAGTAATGGAAGAGTCTCTAACCATCAGAAAACAGATATGTCCCAAGAGTAAACTTAGAATTTGTAATTAGCCAATATATTGCAGTAATGCCAAAGGGACCTAATTAGCACTTACTTGTAGTAATGTACTTAACATTGTGTTTTAACCATACGCTAAGTGGTTTGGGAGGTTTAATGCAGTGTTTATGTTTAGCACTTACTAATTCACAGGAGGAGAAAATTGATAAATATGACAGTTTATTGCAACTCAATTTCTGATGTCAGTTAATTTCAATGACATTAATCGAAATATAATCTGATTTTGCTGAATCCATGTTTTCTCCTAACTATAACATTTCAAAAAAATATCATGATGACAATATAGGGAGAAACTCATTCAAAATTGACTAGGGAATGGAGTCAGTAATCAATTTGCAGTAAAGTAAAGATTAAATATACTGAAGATATTATAATAGTTATATCACTATTATTTAAGAGTGTCTTGAAGTGTGCTAGGTTAAGAACAATTAACACACAGACATGTGGGTAACTTTGCACACATGAACTATCTCACTCATTGCCAGGGGATGTGGTGAAGGCCAAAATTATAATGGAGTTAAAAAAAGAATTAGATAATTAGATTGGAGGACAGGTCCATCAATGGCTAGTAGCCCAGATGGTCAGGGGTGCAACCCCATGCTCTGGGTGTCCCTAGCCTCTGACTGACAGAATCTGGGAGTGGATGACAGGGGATGGATCACTTGAGAATTGCCTGTTCTGTTCATTCCCTCTGAAGCAGCTGACATTGGCCACTGTTGGAAGACAGGATACTGGGCTGGATGGACCATTGGTCTGACCCAGTATGGCCATTCTTATATTCTTATCAATGGAACTACTCACCTGAGTAAAATTTAAGCATATGTGCAAATGTTTGTAGGATTGGGCCTAAATTCAGATGCAATTAGGTGGGTACAAAAGGGCTGAAAGGGATTTGATTTTCAAGGAAAAGTAAGTCCATTTAGAAACATCTCTTCTCTTCCAGCCCAGTTATTCTAAGTATAGGGTCATAGGTTACTTTTAGGAGGGGTGTTAATTATAATAATAATTAACAATCACATAAGACATTGTTTTGATAGTCGTAGGTTCAGACATTAGAAAAGCACTTGAGCATTTAAATGCATGAGTTAAACCACTGATAAATTAACCCATTTTTTTAAATTACAGTATAACTTACAACTTTGAAAGTCTCCTACCTATCTCATGCATTTAAAACATGAGACACACTTCCTGTGTTTTAAACTATATTATCAGATTGGACTGCCTTCTGATAAGTATATGTAAAATGGCAGCTCTTTTAGAGCAACATTAATTACCCTCACAATTATGGAGGTGTTGAAATAGGGATATACACTTCTTTAAAAGAAAAGAAATTATAGTGCCAATTGCTGCTCTCTTCACTAACTTAAGTAGTCCCAGTGACTGCAGTGGGATTGCTCATGTGAGTAAGGGATGTGTGATTTGATCCAATGTACACACTTACATATGATGTAAGAGAGAACCAGTAACATTGACTATCTTAGGGTCAAATTCAGCTTCTAGAACCCTATTGTGACATGACTTCAATGCAGGTGGATTCAATATGAGGAGTTCATTGCAGGAACTAGCTCGTACTGTGTATCTGAAAACTAGAAAATAATGTACATTTGAGGAGTATATGCCAGTACCATGTAGGAAATATGTAGATAGACCAGGGATCGGCAACCTTTCGCATGCGGCTCACCAGGGTAAGCCCCCAGCGGGCCGGGCCGGTTTGTTTACCTGCCGCGTCCGCAGGTTCGGACGATCGCGGCTCCCACTGGCCGCGGTTCACCGCTCCAGGCCAATGGGGGTGGTGGTGGGCGGCGGCAAGCACATCCCTCGGCCCGCGCCGCTTCCCGCAGCCCCCATTGGCCTGGAGCGGCGAACTGCGGCCAGGGGGAACTGCGATCGGCCGAACCTGTGGACGCGGCGGGTAAACAAACCGGCCCGCCAGGGGGCTTACCCTGGCAGGCCGCGTGCCAAAGGTTGGCGATTCCTGGTCTATCTACATATTTCCATCATGGTACTGGTATATACTCCTCAAATGTACATTATTTTCTAGTTTTCAGATACACAGTACGAGCTAGGCACAGTACGTGCCGAAGGTTGCCGATCCCTGAGATAGACTAATATCCTGCCAGACCTCAAAATGGCAGCTCTCCAGAGCCTACTTAGGTGATGTCTCAGAGAAGTGGCTTGGTGATTATATTATATGTTTAATGATTTGATTGGACCAATTATGTTTCTGTAATCTGCATAGTCACATATAAATTACTCACTGTTCTCAATTTCCAGCTCAGAGTACCTTAGCCACACTCTTGCTTAATTACCTTTATTTTTTCTCTGTTTCTTTTATAGTCTTGAATATGTGCATAGGCAAAATGGGATTTTGGTTGCTGGTTGTCTGTACATATATTGCCAATAAGCTGTATAGAAAGGTTGAAAGAGAAAAGGTTAGTGGTTGTGGTGGAACTAACAAAATTAATAAGTTTTAGAAGAATTAAAATTGTTGTCAGAAGAGGGCAGCCTTTTCACATAAATTGTAAACAAAACAACATGGAAAAACATACCTTCAAATTATTTCTCTCATTGGGGTTTCATATGCCACTAACAAATCACCATGGAAAGGAGACTACATCAAACACAAAACTCAGACTAAATAGAGTAATTATCTCTTGCATTACTTGATATTAAGTGGATGGGATTGTTTGCTTTGTAACATTTTTACTTTTTTCTGTTGTACACAGAAAAGATTAAAATTGTCTACAAGGTGAGTCAGGGAAATACTGTAGTTCACCTGTTAGCTTTCCCCCCCTAAAATGAAAGACAAAGATGTTTCTCAGAATCTGACAGTATGTCTTAGTCTTAAGTGTAAAGTGTACTTGCTCTGTTTAAATGGTGATCACCTTTATGGGAAATGTTCTCACAATAAAAGCTTAATGTTACAGAGAGGCTATAGGTTAGTTTTAGCTCTGAGTTAAGAGCTAAAAAAGCATTACCAGAGGAGTAAGCGCACAGTGCTGTATTCCTCTTATACTTTCATCAGATTAATCTGTTTCCATATGTATTCCATATAAAATATGTAGCCATGAAAACTGTCATATTAAACTCAAGTGTGTACCATGATTTGTGAACTATCAATAGTATAAATTGACTGTATGGCTACAAGTAAGTTTCACCCATAGCCATCCCATAATATTTCCTATAGTAACCAATGTACTGCAAAGGAGACAAAGCACAAGACAACTAAAATTAGGATGAAAAACAAACCATATGAGATCTGGTGCAGACAGCTGTAAAGTTTTTTGTTGCTGTTGCCTTTTTTTGGAAAGCCCCACATATAATGTATTTGTGGCTCTATGACTTGTGAGTAATGAGATCCTCAACAAGTCATGGTGATACATTAAATACTCTGGGTGCAATCCATGAAGCAATCTAGCCACTTAAGTCCCTGTGTGTGGCACCACTGTGATACAAGATACTCCTGCTTGGCTGCTGCCTCATGCTGTATGCACCTAAACTCACTCAGTGCCTAAGTTTCTGTTGTAAAAGTTCCCTAGATGCCCAAATTTTAGACCCTGGGGCATGCATGCTGCTGCCTCCCTCTAGATGCCCAGGCACCCATTTTCTGCCTATGCCTCTGGGCATTCACAAACTAGGGGAGGATAGATGCTCATCCACCTCACTTGTGTGTGGGGCCTGATCTGGTAGGTGGCTTTTGAGCACACCTACTGGATTGGATCCCATTCAAAATCTGGCTGGAAGAAAAGGTGTTGGTGATGCCCACATTATAACTTTTAGCCGAGTGTTAGAGCACAGTCCTAAGATGTGGGAGATGCAGGTTCAATTCTCCCTTCTTTGTGAGAGGGTGAGAGGATTTGCACAGGAGGCTATAGGGGTATTCTGATGTAGAGCTTCCTCAGTCTCTCCTGTAGAAGTTGTTCCACTGTGGATAAATAATAAAAGGATGATGGGAGCAGGGGAATTGGATCCATGATCTCCCACCTCCCAGCTGGGTGACCTAACACTGGACTACAGTCATTCTCTCTCTCTCTCTCTCTCTCCTACCCCTTCCCTCCCAGGACTATTAAAGTATTTATCCACAATGGAACAGACACTGAGCCATAGAGAGACCATCTCCCATTGGCTAGGCTGTCCGCCTAGTCTGCTGGTTTTGGTGGATTGTGTTATAAGGCCTATCTCTCCCCTGCATATGTAGAGAGCATAGGTGCCTAACTCAGGCTTTGAGGATCGCAATATTGTTCATATGATTTTTCCAGGCACCTAAAAGCTAGGCATTGTGATGCTTAGCCTTGTAACACCTAAATCTTTTTTGTGGATCCCACCTCTCTGCCTATCTATCTATGTTTTTATAAGGTCACCCATCACTGTGATGTCTAAGCATCTTCCGTCAAAAGTAAATGCTGGCACAATATTTATCCACCGATGTATCAACAGCTATCAGCATTGGGGAAGTGCAAACTCATTCTTATGATGTAAGAACTGCTCCTCACCCAAATCTTTTCCAAAAACTTGAGTTTAACTGAACTCAAAGGGACAGATCCTCAACTGATATAAATTTGTATAGCTGCTTGGACATATGTAGTGTGATGTAATTGCTGAGTTATGGATGAAGATTCATTTAGCTCCAACCAGTATGTAAAGGGAGGGGTTGGAACCTCTCTCAGAAGCTGAGAGAACTAGAGTCTTCGACAAAAAGATCCTGCGGGAAAAGATCTGGAAATAGATGGAAAAAGCTTGTTGAAGAAAACTTAAGCGGAAATTTATCTTGTGGTGTCATTAGTTAGGTTACCAATAAGCCAAATCCCAGGAAGGGTGTA